TTTCTTCAACATTTTATTAACTTTTTATGTGATTTTGTTCTACGAATAGTATTTTGAATATTCATACTATAAACGATGCAATATGTGGAACGAGCAGTAATATGAATAATAATTTTTTTTTTCATTAAAGTTCCAAAGAATTTTATTCCAAATTTTTATTTATTATATTTTATTATTATATATCGTCTTGTGTTAATTGGAAAATAGTTTAAGTATTATTGATGTATTACAGTACCTAACGTCAGGATCGGATTGATAAAAATTTACGTAGATCGATAATAGTGGCATCAATACGATTTTGATCGAGACGTCGATAATATTTCCATGAAGATACCTTTGATGTGCTATAATCAAGATGAAAAATACCACCTGTCAACTTTCTCTTAACATGTACTGCTATTGCATTCAAATTTGTCCCGATACATTTGCATTCTAATTTTCTTCTCGAACGTGTGTTGCATACACATGTTGCACGACCTGCGTAACAGCCTGCGAATTTCAAATAGACAGATCGCGAATTACGAATTGTGGCGCGTAGTTAAGACTAGCGATTAAAAAACAAGCGCATCGATAATCGTGTGAACGACGGAAAGTTTCCGAGATGTTGCGAGTAGAAGCAGGCGATTCGTCAAAGTGTAACGCGAGAGAGACTTTCGAAAAAATGCATTCGCTCGATATTGACGTCCAGATTTTGCACATTGTTATACAACGTCTTGCTTACCAGTTTACCAGTTGAAAAAATTTGAAGATATCTTTATCTAAAGTACACAGAAATTTAATCGAAAATGATACTAATTATAAGTCGATCGATCGTACATTTTTATTCGGTTGATTCTTTTTTCGTAAACACTCAAAGGCGTTTAAAAAGCTCGTTTCAAAGACCGAGATTCATTTAAAAATAGAGCGGAATAGACTAGAAACTGGTAAATTGTACGAATCGGCTTGATTTTGTTTCCTTCTGACGATTCCCGCATACGATCGATGAATGGAATCGTTCATGTTCGTCTCTGTAGTGATATCACGAGCAACGATAGCGATGAGGATGATCGAGAAACTTTCCATTAGAAGCCTCGTCCAGTAAAGAGAGAATCAATAATCTTGACGAAAAGAATGGAAATAAAGGTATTTAATAATCCTGATCGTTAAAAGAAAAATATATAATCGTTATGAGATTAAAAAACGATTAGAGAGAAAAGAAAAATTGCATTTGGACATTAACTATGGCGTGAAGGAAAGGAAAATAATATTTTTTTTTTATTTATTTATTTATTTACATTTTACAATTTGTTCAGTAGGACATTTGGTAAAATATTATAGCTTAGTGATATAGCAATATAGCGTGTGAATGGCTACCTCCAGTGGCATACCATCTTCGAATTTGATTGATTTATTTCTTTAGTGTGGTGTTTGCATGTTGGGTTATGTCCTTTGTGAGATCTGTTGGGTGTTTGCTTTTTAGTCTCCTTTTTATATTTGTTGCGCCGACCGTTTCCGCTGCCAGCCGGTTCGGGTACGTTGCTATTCTTTCTCTGTACCTTCTTGCACTTCTGTTAATCTCCTCCTTGACCGTTGGTAATCCCAGGTCTTTCCGAATGTCTTCGTTTCTAACGTACTATGGCGCGTTTGCTAGTATTCCGAGTGTTAAAGGAAAATAGCGAGAAAGAAATATTTTTGGTTTATGAGACGAAGATAATCCAACGATCCAACGGACGAATCCAAATGCTTTCAGTCTCGTTTAAATGGCTCCATTAATCATCGTGCCAATGTCAGGCGATTGATATACACGAGGTTGGCCTGCTTTGCACGAAACTATCAATAGCCATAAAATTTCAGTGACTTTTATTGCAAGTGACTTTATTGCAGTGACTTTTGCAAAAATTTGAAGATGGTATCCCACTGGGGGAAGCCATCCACATGCTATATTGCTATATCACTAAGCCATAATATTTTACCAAATGTCCTACTGGACAAATTGTAAAATGTAAATAAATAGATAATAAAAAAAATATTTGCAAAACAAAATTACTATTTTAAATTGTTAATCAACACGTTGGCGAATTCGCATTGAAAATTGTTCAAAATAAAATTGTTCATTTCATTGAAAATGTACGATTAAGCGATTGAACTGATATTATTAATAAAGTTTTAAACAGGTGATATAGTTTATAAATTATCATTATTAATAAATGACATTAACAAAGTGGAGTATACTATATTACACGTAACTTTTTCCATTTCTTAATAAATTATTTTATTATTAAAGATTGATAGTATTATTGTGGAAACGAGTCATTTTATTTACAAACCTAATTCACGTAATCTAATCCATGATTTTTTCCATTGCAAAACAGCGAGATTAAGTGGACGTTATTTGTTACATGTTTTCGTCGAGCTAGCGAGTTATCTGATTACTCGGCTAATCTAGGTGCAAATACTGTATCGCGGTGTGACAGATATTAGAAGATACGTCTTCTTCTTGTATTCGAAAACGTAAACGAAAAATTGTAATCCTATCTGGAGTTATATTTTCGATCTGAAGAAATAAAATCTCTGAAGTTACTTGCACGGGTCTTCTGATACGCGTCTTAACAAAATAATCGATCGACGAATCCGTTGAAATTGGCGAGAATTTGCGACTGAAGGTTACAGAATCGAAATTGTAAAACGAAATCGCGTTTGGTTACACGTTTTGCGATGATAACCGTAACTTGCAAAGGTATTACAAATGTTAGGCAGGTTTTATCGTACGACCTACGCATATAATTTATCAACATGTCACTGACATTTTAGAGTCACGTGAATTGGCTAATCAAGAAACAAGTTGAATTTCGAATGTACCGTAAAAGGTCGAACTCTTGAGTGACGATGGCAGAAATTTTTAAAGGCTTTCCTTTTACGAGCGAAACTCGAGGAAAGAAGCAGGTAAGGATACTTTAAGAAAGATACTTTTGAAAATAAATCTCAAAGGTACAGCAAATATTCTGAGATTCTGAGAGATAACGAAAGAAATCTTCATTTTTCATTTTCAAGAGCCGAACTGTTAGAAGCTGAAGGAAATTCGGAGAGGAATTTTGTACCGTTCAAAGGAATTTTAGAAAAAGAATTTGTGTTTTTTTTATTCATAAACGTGTTTTAAGTCACGTTATTGTTATCGTTATCGCGTGATTTTGAAAGAAAATCTAATATAACAGAGTACAATCTAGTTTTCAATGCGATAATAATAATTATTAATCAACAACGATTATCGACATCGTTCTACCATGTTACTAAGTTGAAGACTTTTAGCCACTTACTATTTTTAGCGAGAATTAACTGAATAAGAAATTAGATCAAGAATAAGAAATTATATCAAGAATTAATTATCTCTTTAACAAGGATTAATAACTATAGGCGAGTACTTAAAAACATTAGAACTAACGAGACGTTAATATTGCAAATTTGATCGAGTGCATACTTCGAAATATTTATCCAAAATTTTGATAAACTCGTATTCTATTTTATTCGATAATCAAATTTTATGCATACATGATATACATGATAATACCACGTTATGTAACATGATAACAATCCGATAATAATAGAAGCAATCGATACAACAATATTAATAGCAATCGATCGCGGTTACGAGAAGCGAAGTTGTTATAGTTGAGAGATGCAATGTGTTTGTTTCTTTGTTCTTGATGATTAAGCAAATCGTGTATTTATCTCGAACGTAAATATGTAAAAATACGTCACAACGAGCGTAGAAGCAAAATACCTAACGCCTAGGTTTATGACATTTTGAAAATACAATATAGTATCGCGTATACGCGAGTTATACTTTTTATGACTGTCTTTGAAAAAATTTGTATGAATATTTACAGTCTTCTTATGAAGATTATAATGGTGTTTTTTTCGTAGTGATAGTTAGGAAATCTACTGTTTGCATAATTAACATACGCAGTTTGCTAACCATGATAATTTCGTTCTGTTATTCACAGTAGTACATCTTATGTGAGTCGATGATTATGAAAGTAGCGTGTTATTTTTTATTTTTTTTTTTTCGAGATACACAAAGTTCTGTGTTCGACGCATGAACTGAATTCTGTGTTAACGACACAACAGCAAACACAGTCCGATAGTTCTGCAAAAATGGTTACGGATTATTATAGTATAATACGCGACGCAAAACAAATATCTTATTTTTAGGTTTTATACCTAGGCCATTTCAATACTAAACGATACATGTATTATTTTCAATGCCAGTTCTATTGCGCCTCTATTCCTTACGGTCAAGGTGATGACCCTCTATTTCGGTTTACTACTCATTGTAGTGTGTAGAATTCCACTAAAATTCCTTCGAGCACGTACCGTTTTCACTATCGGAATGACCATCGATTGCTAAATTTAACGTATCGCGCAACATTTTCCCTCGCTCGTGGTCATCGTAATCGTTGGACATCGCCGTTGCATAATTTTTTAATAGTAGAATTTCGCTTTGCATTTACTAGCCCTAATGGAATATTATACTTTTCTTTTTTTTTATTCTTTCTTAAATTCCATCTTACTTATTCACGGTAAATTCTCCTAAGTTACTCCATTTTATTTAAAAAAAAAAAAAAGTATCGACCAGTCTTTATTCAAGGAACCTAACGAAAAGATTTCTAAAAGAATAGTTTAAAACGATCTTCGTCGAAGAATTAAAAATCTCGCTCGCTTCTACGCTCGTCTTTTTTTCTCTCCAGTTTTCTAATCCCCCACTTTCAGCGCAAATAGCGATGTCCTCCTCATGTTTTCTTCTCTCGATTACTATCTTTTTGTTTACTCGGCAATGATTTGCAAGAATACGCACGAGATACGGGGAAAAGGATCGCTAAATGTAAGGGACATTTAAAAAGGAAGAGGAAAAATATCTTGATCGATCGAAATCTCTTCTCGCTTAAGTTACGCGCGCCACGGCGGTGCGACTCCTACTGCGTAGCGGAGGGGAGAAGAGGTAATTGCGCGCGCATCCCCTCGTTCCCCACCACTCTTGACGGACAATGAGCAAAGCTCTATATATGACGTCACCGGAGTAGGTCGCGGCACTCAGCTGACGACTGCATTCAGAAGTTCGAGAGGCCGTAACTCATTCCCATTATACTCGTGTTCAGGTACGATCACACTGACTCTGCTCTTCTGTACGTGTCGACTGTGTGTGTTTAGCGATGATATTCCCGGATATTTTCCTCGGTCTTTTTTTTTCTTTCTTTATCTGTTTCCTGTGTTTATCGCATATATCTGCCGCATGATCCTTGTAGCTATTCGAAGCCGCGGGGTAGGGTAGTTGGACGGTTTGCCAAATTTTTTCTTTGTTTTCTTATTAATATATTCGATGACGTATATATCGACTCTATCTTTTGGGTAAAGGTTTCGTATACAGGAAATTTCCTATTTATTTTGTCTACATTTTATTTTTCTTTTTATATATTTGCTTTCGATTTTTTTTCAAAGCGACACGTTTTAGAGTTTTGTAATGAATAAATAATATTTACATGTACAGTATGTATTATCATACGTAGCGTCGAATCTACCGTAGGAATTACAAAAATTTATGAGATAATATCGTTCTTGTCTAGTATTGGCGACAAAAATCATATAGAAATAACAAAGTACTACAAATCGTAAAATTCCAAGACCATAAAAAGATAAATATCCGTTGTCAATCCTAAAATAAACACCTTGTTTTTACCATGAATATTTGATCAATCTCAGATAATAGACAGCAAGTATTTGATCTATCGTCAGAAATTATCGCGGTCGTTTTAAAACACACGTGACAGAAGACTCTTGATCTGAGTTCTCTTTTTCTTCTTTGCTAATTTCGTACATCTCAAGTAACTTAAGAACGTTAAGCGCTATTGCGACACGTGCGACACTAATTCCCTTGCAATTCGCTTTTATAGCAACATTTCATCGATACTTGTGTCTGTTAGCGCACGATTCATTCAAAATATTGCAATTTTTATTTTACAAAAGTCTGTATTAAATTTGTCATTTTTCTAACGATTGACGATACGAATATGTTTGTTAAATCTCGTGGTATGGGAGACTATGGTTGAAAGAATATATGGGTGCGACTACCACTTCCACGTAGCAATCACGTGCACTTATCAGCCGCTGGAAAATTACATATACTATGGGGAAATGGCCGATACCCATGCTTCTAAATGATTATTATGTGCCTTCAACACATCGTAATATCAATTTCTAAATATAGGTAGGCCAAGGAAATTTCTCAAGAAATAGCATTTCATTTTTCACGAAATTAAATCTTCCCTTGATTTATCTAGATTTTACCCTAATCTGTGTTACTTGTATTACTTGTGAATTATTCTCCTCTATATAATACATTATTCACTAATGAAACTGTTATTATGTTTTCACAGGCTTTAATCAAGAAGTCATACTAGATCATTTTCGAACATGGCCGAGTCATTGGAACAGATGCCAAAATCTGAGACGATCAGACTGCGGGAGCGATATATTGGGTAAATATCACGTTAAACGCGCGTTCCTATTTATCGCTGTTGTCATATGGAATAATATTCATTTCGAGCGTGAACACGAATCGATCGTTTTGCAGGCAAGCGTGCAAATTATTTTACAAATCGAACCCTTTGAAAATTGTTCGAGCCGAGGGGCAGTACATGTTCGATGAGAGAGGCAATCGTTTCTTGGACTGTATCAATAACGTTGCTCACGGTATGAAAAAGATGTTAATATATTAAAATATTTTTTTTTAATTTAAGAAGCTTCAATTCGTAAGAATAATTGCCCTAAATAGATAATTTATAGGGATTAAAATAGAACAAATGAATTGACTAATTCTTATCTAAACTGTGCATAGAATCGTATATTTAAATTAGATAAATTATTTAAATTAAATAAATAGCGTCTATGTAAGCTTCTGTAAAGCTTCATTTTAAAAGAACTTCGTACACACGAGTCTAAGAAAATGAAATATAAGTTTGTGAATGATAATAAAAAAATGTAATTTCCTATGAATTAACACGGATAAATAAATAAATTTACAGTGGGTCACTGCCATCCAACGGTGGTGCGCGCAGGCCAAGAACAAATGGCTTTGCTCTCCACCAACAACCGTTTCCTCCATGACGATCTGGTAATCTGCGCGCGTCGTTTGACCTCGCTTCTTCCGGAACCACTGTCCATCTGTTTCCTGGTAAACTCGGGCAGCGAGGCCAACGATCTCGCTCTTCGTCTCGCTCAAACGCATACCAAGAACAAGGATATTATCACCTTAGATCAGTAAGTTGTCGTATTTAAAGCAATCAGCCACAAAAAGTATTCACCTGTTTCCGAAAAAACGTAGATTAGCGATAATCTACGTTTAGATAATTACGTTTAGACAAACGTGACGATTTCGTTCATCGACTAAATTATCATTCGATCGTTATAGAAATTTTTCCATATTCGATTATTTATTGTAATATTCGTATATTCAGCAATTTTTCATATCTTCTTCGAAACAGTTATAAATATTTGAAAAAATAAATCTACTGAAAATAATTCGTAAAACATTTCTTCTCACGATCGAAGGAAAATTCTATGAGAAACGAAATCGTTGTCGTCCAACAGGCTTTTGGCTTTTTCCGACTAAATATATATGCGACCCTCGAGCAAAAAAAAGAAGTCGAAAATCACTGTGCGTTGTTTCTTTCGTGAGAAAAACGTGTCTCGACCATTTGCAGGTAGCCTTCGTTTTCCCTTTCTGATCGGGGCAAAATTCAGTGAGTAGCCATACGATGCGACTAGAATAACACGAAGGCGATAGGAACACGATGATTTTTCAGGCTACGATGATTTCTCTCAGGCAGATTACGTTCCTTTACTCGACAGCCGACTAATCGTGTGGGTTTTCTTTTTTGCTTGTTTGCAGCGAATGAAAACGCTTTGGAAGATACAAGCAACATGGCCAACGCGATGCGACGAGACAATGAAAGAAGTTGTACATGATCGATCGGCCAATTTTCGTGCACGCACAAAGTCGACAAAGTCACATAAAGCTATTGTCGTTTTAGGTGACACGTACGTGCCACATGTACGCCACGCAACAAGAAGCCAAGCAATATGGATCGGAACTTATCTACGAAAAAGTAATTTTATATCCTGATAGAAAAGATGCGAAGCCAAGAGACAACAGCAGGGGCGAATGTTGTCGATAGAAAAGAAGCGAATCGAGGGGGTGTGTTGTGACACGAAGTGGGCCAAGGGGAGCTTCGATAGCTGGACAAGTTTACGTTGTTAAAAGCGTGGTCGTGCACACGATGATATCGTCATGATTCAAAATAGTTTAAGAAGCTTTTAAATGCTTTTTTCGAATTGAACAGATACGTAGTAGATAGAAATTTATTATAGACCTCGCGAAAGATGGAAATTGTAAATTTGATATTTGAAGGGTGAAATTCATCTCGGTACTTGCAAACATCGACGTTTCAAATTTAAGCGTTCTTTAAACCTTGCTTTAAATCTTAAAGACCGAGATTTGAAATAACAAAATCTAACATTTACAAGAGAACAAGAGGAGTTTAAATGAGAGAAAATTCAAATTTATTCGGAATATAGAAAACGCAAGTTTCTTTGAAACTTTAAAACCAATCAAAACAAAAAATTTTAGATACAACTGCTATAAATGATAATTCCCGAAATGAAAATTCTATAAGCATCGCGCGTCTAATAATTAGAGAAACCTGATTAATCGAGTTTCAGCAATGAACATGTGACGATATCTTGGTGAACACGCATTGATAGTTTCATGATTCACTCACGCTCCCTTTGCAACTGCGCTATCCTCAGCGTCTTCAACGTTCATCCTTAGCTTTGCGAGTGACGCGTTGCGAATGCGTCTCGCCTCACGACATCAGGTTCTTTGATAACGTAATTTTACGTCATCGAGCTATCAGCGTTCCCTTTTGCTTTGTTATCGATACTTCCGCAAACTGAGACAGCGTGAAAAGCGAACGTATATTTCGCGAATCGTTTTGTTCTCTCTCTTCCTCTCTCTCTCTCTCTCTCTTTATTGTCTTTCCTAATAACGAAAATCGTTGAGTGAAGTGAAGAGTTTCACGAAGAGAGGGGAATGACCATTTTCAGGACGTGTCGAAGAAAATCGGATAAGATGACCTCGTCGCCGTACGGAGGATCACAGTGAAATGACGCTTAGAGTTAGAGCTTGATAGTGAGCTTGACAGAGAGTGCTGAGGTGGCTGAAAACAAACTGTCGTTTAACGTTGTTCTTTCTTGCTTTTAGTGCTTATCATGGCCATTTGACTTCGATGATCGATATTTCGCCGTACAAGTTCAACAAACCGAACGGGCCTGGCAAAAAAGACTGGGTTCACGTGGTAAGAAAGTTTTATCAATTTCTATTATTATACTGAAGTTCCTCGAAAAAATATCTGAATTCATAATATATCTAAAACAATCTAAATAACAATAGTAGCCTAGATAATCTACAATAAATTGTTGAACCTTCTTCAATGACTTTAATATCGAAAAACATGTTGATAAATTTTGCAAAAAAATTATCATCGTATATAATATGTGTCCAATGCATTCCATAACTTTAGAATAACTCTATTCGTAAGATAAAAGAATGTATACTAAGAAAACCGATTCGCTGTGCCAAAAAAAAAAAAAATTCTTCTAATAGACGTAGATTCTGATAAACAATAAATACCATCAACACCGTTATTATTATTATATTTATAATCGTAAGAAGTATTCGTGAGAATAATTGAAATTTTATACTTCAGAAATGTTTGGATGCCAATTATCTATGTTCGGTGTTTAATGTGAGCTTCTCGTATTTATTATTCATAGGCACCATGCCCGGATGTTTATCGAGGGAAGTATCGCGATATCGACCACCCTAACGAAGATCTGGGCGTGAAGTACGCCGATGATGTGAAGAATATTTGTCAGAATCTGAAGAACGAAGGCAAAGGCGTCTGCGCTTTCATCGCTGAAAGTTTAATGTCTGTCGGTGGGCAAATTCTGCCACCACAGAATTACTTCAGAAACGTGTACAAGTGAGTATGTTGCTCTATCAGCGTCGAATTTCTTAATATAGTTGATACAATTGTTGATATAATTGGTTACCTACCTTCAGTTTCGTTAATACTATTTGCATAAAATAACAGACACGTTAGAGAAGCCGGTGGTGTTTGCATCGCGGATGAAGTTCAAGTCGGATTTGGAAGGGTTGGTAGTCACATGTGGGCCTTCCAGCTTTACGGCGAGGACGCTATACCGGACATAGTCACCGTAGGAAAACCCATGGGTAACGGACATCCTGTGGCAGCTGTGATTACGACACCGGCCATTGCTGGAAGCTTCAAAGACACTGGAATAGAGTACTTCAATACGGTGAATATCAAAGTTTTTAAATCTTCTCGTTTTTCGTATTCCTCTCAGCAAGGAAACCTTATCATTTACGAATCGACGAATTCAGATATCTTCCTTCTTTTAGAATATAACAATAATAATAATAATTATTATTATTAATTAATATTATTATTATATTATATAATAATATAATTATAATTCCTTAGAATATAATAATAATAATAATTATTATTTATTTATTTTGCATTATGAAATTAAAAACCATGAAACACTTACGATTTGTCCTCTGTCGAATCTTAGTATGGGGGAAACCCAGTGTCTTGCGCCATAGCAAATGCCGTGATGGAAGTGATCGAGCGAGAGAATCTTCAAGAGAACGCTTTGAAGGTTGGTAATCATCTGATGACGGAATTGAGGAAGCTGGCCAAGCGACGAAAAATTATCGGTGACGTACGAGGTGTCGGACTGTTCGCGGGTATCGAGTTGGTGCGCGACAGGATCGAGAGAAGCCCAGCGACTTCGGAAGCGAAGCACGTGGTCTCCAGGATGAAGGACAGGAAAATTTTGATAAGCAGCGACGGCCCGGACGACAATATCTTGAAATTGAAACCGCCGATGGTATTCACGATTGAGAATGTAAATCACTTGGTGTCTACTTTGGACGAAGTTCTCGAGGAAGTGGACATTGGCGTCGAAAAGGTGATTGTTAATTGGACTTTCAATTGGAGATATTAATTGAAATTAAAAACTAGAAATATTAGAATATTAGAATGGAAAAATATTATAAGTCGTTGGAAATATTAGAAGAGATATTTAGACGAGATTTTAGAAGCAGAGTTGCGAACAACTCACGAAAAACGAATGAACGAAGAACAGGATTTCTGCATGTTAAGATGTTTCGAAATTATGAATGTAATTTCTAGATTTTCTTACTGAATGATAACGTAGATTATGCAATTATGTCGCGTTTGAGCGAGAAAGCGTGGACACGTTTCGATCGGAAACCGGATGCAGAATGTTGTAACATTGCGAAGTACACTTTGTTTTTCTGAATGAAAATGTCTGACTTTGCAAAGAGATCGTCATATCTCATCCGGATGAGCGATATTTCGTCTCGACAGTTTGCATGTGCCTCGATAACCAGTGAACCGTTAATTACATGTTTCTTCGATGTTTTTTATAGATAGTAATTTTGCATGAAAGTCTTTTAGATATCGCTTGTTTGATTAATTCAACGATCTTTTCAATTTACTTCGTACGTGATTCCATGTTAGCAGACACGATAGAAATATTTATAAGCGAACGTTGCAGTCTACGAGATTCTCCAAAATTTAGCTGGTTATTAATTCCTGATAATTAATTAATTAATTATATGTTTTTAGAAGTACGAGCCCACGACGACTATTTTGAAGGCGACGATCTCTAAAATGGACGTGGAAACGGATAACACCACGTGTTCAAGCGGGAAGCCGTTGCTTGTTCGCGCTAATTAACGATTAATTTAAGCTGAACCTTATATTATAATATATTTATAAAACACGATGGCCGTGTGCCTTATATTTAAGATATTACTGTTCGTGAGCTGAATGACTATTGATAAATATGTTGTGCATGTTTCTGAAGAATATCGTGTGTATATGTATGAAAAGAATTACAGGTGAACAGAGAGAGATGAGACTACAGTTAAGATTTAATTAAACGTCGAATTAATATTCGAGGTAATAATACTTTAGTATATATATTGTAATAAATATAATCACTATAAATATACTATATTTTTGCATATCCGTTTGTTTGATTATTATTTCCGCTGGTAGCGAGATAGTTGAAAGAAACAAGTACAAATAAGTACGGATACAAGGAAGAAAATTCAATGTCTGTGTTAAAATTGTTGACTACGACCGTCGTTATTTAACGTTCAAGCAAAATCAAAGATCGAACATTAGAAGATAATAATAAATACTAATGGAGATTATTGATTATTGTTCAATAACTATAATTCCGCAGATTCATAAATCCGTAAATATAATATGATAAAAACGCACGAACCGTGACCCCACGTGTAATCACATCTGCATTTTACATATTATGACCAACTGCATTATTTATTAACAGAAATCTAGCGTTTTCTGAAGTTACGTTATCACGACACGGCTTTATATCGTTATCATACGTGAACTGTGATTATATGGGTAACTTTTGAATCTCAATAAAGATGTTGGTCAAAATATTATTTATTTTCAATTTTCAATATTTTCAATATTTTCAATTCCTGAAAGGTTCTTTAGAAGAAAGGAATTTTCAATGTAAAGGACATTGTAAAATATTTCGATGTAAACTTAACTTAGCAAACGAGATTATCAAGATAGAACGATAGAAGATGTTAAATCTTATTCTATCAATTTGTTATGATTTCTTTTTCGATAAATATCTTTATTTTTGTAGATGTACTAGTTTTGTAGTTTTAAGATTCACTGGAATATGATAAATATTAAAAATCGGGTATATTTCATATGTCACAACCTAATAAGAATGGGAGAAATGCTTTATGAAATGATAAGTCAGCCGGAGATACAAATCGAGAATTTTGAAGAAAAATGTTGTCAAATTTCATGTCCATCGATTAGGTATATTTCGTTACAACTGTTTCTAACGAGGGAAAGGATTAGTTCGATAGAAAGAAATCGATATCGTTGACGAAATTATTATTTCTTGAAGTGTTATTAGCAGATAATAAAATTTGATCTGGCAGTTATTATTCTAATAGACACGCCAGACAGTGCAAAACATAGATAGGAGAAATGAGTGGCATGTAGATTAAAAAATAAGTTCACGGACATTTTCTTAGCTGCTTACGTTGGCACGATTAAAGTATAAATTGGAGGTTGAAAACGACCCAACGTTACTTTCTCGGTTGATGTCCACGGCTTTCAATATGTGGCTACCACTGACGGTTTTATTGCTTGGTAAGTAAAGGTAGAAAATTCTACTCAGACCTCCCTATCAATTGTTCCATCTGCTTTCTCATCGATCTTCTTTCTCCCTTGAATTCTTTTCATAAATTTTAATTAATCTGATAGAAGGAGGCATATTTCATGTAGAACGCAGTATATCCAAAAATTCTTATTTGCAATGCCAGAAACGAGGCAAATCTTTTTTACCTCGAGACACTGAAAATTCAGCTCCAATCGTTCAACAATTTTTCTTTGCTTTACTTTTTTGTCATTGAGAATATAATTATCAACAATTGAATTATAAAACTTGTACTAGAAGAATAAAAAAAAATATTTTATATGCAGAAATATTTTACTTCCATACTTTACAAAAAGTCATTTCCAAAATTATATACCGTGTATCGTAAATCTGCGAAAATCCTATCAGAAACAGCGGTCTGATAATTCCACTGTTAATTTTAGAGAAAGATATTTCTCATACAGAGTATCAATAAAATCTTCTACAAAGCGACAATAAAAATAAGAATAATTTCTCTGTCTCAGAATACGTACGTTTCAATTTCAATTATTCAGGAATTTCTCTTTGTTTCCTCACTCTTTCCCTAAAATTGCCAAGACTTATTATTTAATAAATTAAATTTCTCAGTCGCAAAAGTGATCAAGATTCAAGATTTATCACGTATCATTCGTTACTCTCTGTTTCTTTTATTTTAACATTTACAACTCTGTCGCGTTCAATCAATCGAAGCTAACGCTGAAAATTTCTACGTATCCGCAGCGGGAATAGTTTCAGCCGACTACGACCATGGCTGGCATGTCGACAACGAGTACACTTATCTTGTACGAAGTCGAACATTAACCAGTTTGGATGAATTATCCGATCAGCACACCGGTATCCTGATGAAAGCATTGCTCACGGTACAAGTCAAAGATCCTCAGATGCTAACTGCGAAGGTGTCGCATGCTCAATACGCTCGAATCCTCAAATCTTTACCGGAAGGCTGGGACACTGAGATTTCTGACCAAATGTTGGAACTCCGTGACATGCCCTTTTCTGGTAAACCGTTCGGTATCAAGCTGAAACATGGCGTGATCAGGGACGTCATCGTGGATCGTACCATCCCAACCTGGGAGGTGAACATCCTGAAGAGTATCGTTAGCCAGTTGCAACTAGACACCCTGGGTGAGAACGTGATAAGAACGATGGAAATGCAGATTCCGACCGACGACGAACCGTACGGAATGTTCAGAGTTATGGAAGATTCAGTTAGCGGAAAATGCGAAGTTCTTTACGATATCACGCCGCTGTCAGAGCAAGTCGTCCAAATTCAACCAGAATTGGTTCCTATGCCGAAGTTGAAGGGAGATGGACGGCATATTGATATCCGCAAATCGAAGAACTTCGACAAATGTGAGCAGAGGATGAACTATCAGTTTGGTATAACTGGCAACAAGCAATGGGAAGCTGGGTCCAATAAGAATGGAAAATTCTTCTCGGTGAGTAGTTTGGATCGTTGATGATATTACAGGAATGTTAGAAGCCGGACAGTATCTTTGACGGTATTTTGATAGAAAGTTGGAATTCTGTGCCAATCCCTGAACCACGTTAACCCCTTAATAGCGTAATAGAATGAAAATGGAGAATTCGGATGGAACGAACGATCCAGCGAACAGCGTTTCTTGCGTTTCTTGTATCTGGACACAGGAAACACAGATCTCCGATCGTTTATAGGCGATGAATATCGATAATGGTATTGCAGGATCTTTACTACAATTAGTTTATCTAAAATGGATTAAACAGATGTTGGTTAAACAGTAAACGATGGTTGTTTAACGTGAACTAAATATAATAACGTGTTATAATTGAGACAACGAAATAGTTAATCTGCAACTCTCGTCACCACGGTTCCAACGCACTCTCTGACTTTTCAACTAACACCGACTGTTAATTTGTTTTTCTCCCGTAGCATCCCTTTGTCTTTTGTCTTTGCGCCACCACGTAGGGTTTTTCCGCGAAACTATTCGCTTGAAGGGCCGACGATACATTGTTGGGCCTGTCGGCCCACTTCGGCTTTCTCGCGACTTTGTTTATAGTTCGCCTGATATCTCTTAGCCCTTTGGTTCACGATACTACAGTATTATATTGTAAAAGGTTTAATTTCTCGGTGGTTTTGGTTCTATTTGTCTTATGAAGAGTATCGATACAATATGTACAGTATAGGTGATGTTAAGCAAGATTTTTAATGTTGCAGCAATCTGCGACGAGCAGAATCATCATCTCAGGATCGCTGAAGTGTTACACCATCCAATCGGCGGTGACTACCAACATAATGCACGTGAGCCCAAGATTCTACGACCAGGGACACGGGTTGGTAGCCAGCAGGATGAATTTAACCTTGGCCAACGTGAAGAAAATTACGAATCCTCTGCCCAAACCGAGCACTCCGGAATCCACTGGCAACCTGGTTTACACTTACAGCAATCCTTACTCAGATATGGAGGAACGCAGAGCCGGCAAGGTAGTCGAGGATTCGGATAAGATGATGGTTTTTGATAGTGTCAGTTCTATTAGCTCGAGCGAAGAAGCCACGAAGGGTCAGAATCTTCGAAGCTTATCATTTGACTCGTCCAGCAGCGAGGAGGGCTATTACTGGCAGCCTAAACCAACGATGGAAGATGCTCCTCAGGATCCTTTTTCGCCCCTATACATTGGCTTCCAGGGCAAATTTATTGGAAAATCTAATGAAGTGGACGTTGTAGCGAAAAGCAAAGAACTTATTTTCCAAATGGCCAACGAGATGGAAGATCCGAACAACATATATAAAAACGAAATTCTCGAGAAGTTCACGATCCTGTGCCATCTACTTCGTACGATGAATAAGGAGCAAATGTTACAAGTCGATAAGGACGTACGTATTTCTCCTCACGAAATGAAATCGATGGGCAAGACTCTGGGTCCTAAACAAAACGCTTGGACCATATTGAAATCCGCTATGGCTCAAACTGGAACTGGACCAGCCTTTTTGGTTATCAAGTACTGGATCGAGACGAAAGAAGTGGATTCCAACAGAGCTGCAGATCTCTTGACTAAACTTCCCAAGACAGCTCGTGCACCTACTGCTGAATACATCAAGGAATTCTTCGTGAGTATCTATCGTATACGAAGTTGATTTGTGATAATATTAATTCATAATATATGAAATTTTCAATTGTAACAATAATGTTTTACGATGTACTGAATCTTCTTGAATTTGCGTTTCCCAGAAACTAGCTACAGGTGAGAGAGTGAAGAACGATCTAGCCATCAGCGGCCCGGCGATCATAGCATTCAGCGAGTTGGTCTATAACGCTCAAGTGAGCAAAAGGAGAATGCACAATCAGTATCCGGTGCATACGTACGGTCGTCTCACGTCCAAAAACGATCAGGCAGTTACCGAATATTACATCCCCTACCTGGAGAAGGAATTGACGAAAGCTGTGGAAAGTGACCAAAGCACGGTTATTCAGACTTACATCATGGCTTTGGGTAATATCGGTCATCCGAAGATTCTGCCCGTTTTCGAGCCTTACCTGGAAGGCAAAGTACACATGACGGTGTTCCAGAGGACGCTGATGGTCTCAACTCTAGCCAAACTGGCTGAAAGTTTTCCAAAACTGGCGCGTTCGATTTTGTACAAGATCTATCTGAACACCATGGAAGACCACCAAGTGCGTTGCACCGCTCTCTTCATTCTGATGAAGACCGATCCTCCGTTAACCATGTTACAACGAATGGCAGAATTTACCAAAATCGACAAGAACAAACAGGTGAACTCGGCCGTGAAGTCGACT